TCCAAAGCCTGCTTCCATCAGTTTATGAAATTGACAATTTAGGTTAAATATTTTGCAAGTTTGACTGAAGAAATTTCCTTGTTTGGGGAGTGAATTTATATTTGCAACACGTAGGAAGCATTTAAATTCACTCACAGCATGGCCATTACAACCTTTTTGTCACAGTGCAGGATGCCTACTTACCATGTTAAGAGTTGCCTTGTCAAAGGGGCTAAGGTTCATGTATTTTCTTTGTTTCTCTTTCCTGCTGAATGAGTTGAATGGATCAAGCCGTTGTTCATACTGAGTTGAGTAACGACTCTCTGTGTCATCATGTCCAGAAGAACCCTTGGGATAAAATGCACAACTATATATCAAAAATACCAATCAAAGAAAGAAAGGCAGACAACATAATTAACCACTTCATGCCGGGGCATTTTTCAATGTTGATGATGCTGGGCCGGCATGAGTATCATTTTTTCCGTTTTCAAAATCCTTCAACAATTCATCACTCCATTTAGCAGTCGTTTATAGCCGCATGAAGTAATCTTTAGGCACTACTCTAAGTTGACAGGTGACCTTCATTGACGCCCGAATATTTCAGCCAGGCCTGCAGCCTTGCAAACAGAGCCCAGATTGTGCGGTGTTATACAACTGTCTTTTGGTCACGAACCTGGCTCAGTGCACTGCTGACCTCTTTTCAATAGGGGCCAGATTAGCATGCAGCGTTGCTGTGTGGCTCATCGCTGTGGTGGTGGAGAGATTTTGTCCCCGGTGGTAATCCGCTTGCTCTAAATGCCCCAAACCCTGGTATACGGTTTCAAAATAACGCTGGATTATCACCACTTTTGAGAGTGAAAAATGCCGGTAATGCCCAGCAGCCTGGTCTTTTGTTTGGAATAGGGTCTTTTGTTACAGGGCCCTGTTTCCTTTGTCCGAGGTCGGAGACCCCGGCCACACATATAAACCATACGGCTCCGATTTCGGAGTCCCCGGCTGGTAGTGGTTAAGAACTACTTCCAGTTGATGCACTTGTGATGGACAAAAGGGTATGCTTACACCTAGATAAAATTTTGGAAAAAAACTGTATGATAAGGGTGAAAACTTTGTCAACACACCGTAAGTCAAAGTTGTACATCAAGACCACTTTTAATAGCAATAGCTCATTCTCAAGCTCACGTTTAAAGATAAGAGATATTCTTTCCAAAGTTTTAAGTTTACAGTAAAGAAAAGAAATTACCTTGCTGTTTTTGTAGCTTTGCAAGAATCTTATTTTCTCATACAGCTTGATGTTATCAGTTCGCAGTTTGTCAGTTTCTTCTTTCAGTATATTCACCTGTTGCTGGTGCTGTCGATTTTCCTGAACAGAAACAAAAGACAGAATTGTTTAGGACAAAAAAGTCAATGCTGCAAAGGGAGGACTTTCTAATTTTTATACCCATGCCAAGTACATCTTATTTTTTAAGTCTAAATGTCAAAAAACTCTTTTGAAGGTTACATTTTCTTAGCCTTTCAACACAATTCATACCAGTCAAACAAAGAGCTCTAATGAATTATTTTCACTTGAATTAGTGTTCATGATTTAGTGTTTCAATTGGTAACTCACTGCTTCCAGTTCTTGATTGCGTAGTCGGAATCTTTCTCTTTGACTGGATACAATAGGAAGTAAGGATTCTGCGGCACCATGGGTACTGTCTGACAAGCCTTTGCCTGCCAAATAAAAGATCAGTTAGTCACGAGTTAGAAATCAATCAACCAAAAATGCTTGAAAGATGAACACTGTCCACACCATCCACCATTATAAAGTGGGATGACAGCTTCCCTATCTCTGTGCCTAGATTAGAGATTTATATAATGACCTAGCAACTCCCAAGTTTACCTTACAAATTCAAAGCTGAACAGAGCCACTACCCAAGTTGTCACTTTGATGGAGTTGTAAGGATGTTGATCTAATTTCAATGATGAGAATGAGGGGCAAAAAATCCACCAAACTTACAACATTGGGTTTCTGACAATGACACTAAAGTATCGTTACTTTGTAAAAGCTAATAAAGCAATATATATTTCCCTAATGACTACGATAGTTATCTGAATTTCACTTGCTGTTTCGTACAAAATGCAAAAACTTCCAAAACCTGAATTATTAAAACTCTAAAAATCACACTACTTCAAGATTAAGCTAAAAACAGGCATACAACTTGGACTTTGACAAAAACAAGGAAATTCCATTCTTTACAAGACTTTGTACAGTGTTTTTCACTGTCAAGTGGCATGAGTGTGAAGTGAAAAAAAAGAGGAAATCAGCTGATCCAAGGAAAAATTGCACGCCTGTACAAAAAGCTAACTCACCTAATGGCACTGTTTCTCTGACTGCCTCTGCTGCAAAGCCTGCCTCAGTGCTTGATGGAGTTGCTTCCCCCTAAATGACAAAACACATCATCTACATTGTAGTTATCCATCTGGAAATGATCAAATCTGTTAGACGATGCAGAAAGCCCCCTGAATTTCAGGCATTTTCTGCACAATATTATTCACAAGGGGAAGAGAAGAGTAATTATGGACCACATACCCAAGGTAGCCTCTTGCAGCAGGTGTCATAGCATAACAAGGCATCAGCAGGTGTTACTTACCTCACCTTCTCCTCTAATATACATCGTGGACAGAGCATTCACACTCATCAGATCTCTTTCTAATTTGCTGATCAACTGTTTCTGTTCATCAGAGGTATGGACTAACTCAGTATGTTGGGCTTGAAGGTCACTGTAATGCTCTGAGATAGAAAACACACATATATGTACATAGTACACTTGATCAGGAGCATAAGTATTTGCTAGTGAAGAACAGGTGGTAATGTTTGCCGATTTCAAAAGCCCGACACGTGTTGAGTCATCAGGGCACTTGTATTAAAAGGGAAAGCTCTTTGATTACAATTTCAGAAATTTCACCACCGCCCCACTGGAAAAGAACAAATGCTGGCATTGTTAAACCATGTTTCTGTTCCGCCTTCTTTCAGAAATCCATATCTGAATTTTTTTTGTCAACTTACAGAAAACTCAACAAAAACAGAATAAAGTACTAATGCTCTGCCTTAGTCATGTAATAAACTTGAATACTAGTCTTGAATTCCACAATGACCTTCCTCTCCTGACTTCAGCCCAGATTGCTAAGCATGAGTGAAACATTTTGAACTTAAGAAGCTGTACATACCAGGTATTTACATCATTTTTGTAGATAGGTTGGACACTAAACTTTAAGCTAACTGAATCCTGGTACCACTACCTTCAATATGGCAAAATAGAAAAATTAGCTATTGAGCCATCTATTAACAGCTCATAAACAAAAACTTGTTTGGGATGAACTTGTTGATACTTTATTGTGGCAAGACACAAATTAATACACACTGTGACACATTACAGGAACTCAACTGTTGTGTACAATTTTTAATAAATACTGGGGAAGAATAGAATATTTACAAGTGAAATGAAGGAAGTCTGTGTACAAAATGTAAACCACCTTGTTCTTCCTAAGACAACAATACCAAGAAAAGGCTCTAAAAATGTTGTCAAGTGGAGGGTGTATGTGATTATATAAAATGCTTCGTTTCTGACTGTTTAAAGTGAGCTACATGAACATGAAAATACAAGTAGGACTGAATGGCCCTGGCAAGATGTAGAAACAACAGCAATTCTCTTTGAATTCAAAACTGTATTGAGATTTCACAGAAGTACAAAACTTTCTTTATAATACATACATGCATGATAAATAATGACCAACATTTCTACCTACAGGGGTTACCTGTCATGTGGTTCTTAAGCCCTTGTATTTACAGCTTCACAATGCACAATCAAAGTGAAAAGATAGACCTTATGAACATGATGATGCACATGGACTTGTAGACTTCATTCTAAAAAGTAGAGTACACATGCATTTCCAATGTCAAAGCTTAATGTACACAGTCAACAAATAAATCAACTACTCTTTCTTAGAACCAACTGTCATATTCAACAGTTAATATGAACACTGGAGAGGGAATACAAAATTACTAAACCAAGTGATTTGTCGACAAAAACCTGAAAACCAAACTACATACTGGTTCAACAAATAAGTTGATAGTCCAGCCTGCTGGACATGAATTGATCTGTAAAATAAAATGATGCAAAGTCTCACTGCAAATGAATGCAAATTTACACCATCTTCATTTACACAACAGATGGCCAAAGTAACAAATCAAGTCACTGTTGTTTGCATTTTACTAGATGATAAAATGACTGTCAGAGTTAGTATTTCTGAATTTCTGACTAACTTAACCACTTCATGCCGGGGCATTTTTCAATGTTGATGATGCTGGGCTGGCATAATTGTCATTTTTTTCCATTTTCAAAATTCCTCAAAAATTCATCATTTCATTTAATGGACGTTTATAGCCGCATGAAGTAATCTTTAGGCACTACTCTAAGTTGACAGGTGACCTTCATTGACGCTGGAGTATTTCAGCCAGTCCTGCAGCCCTGTAAACAGAGCCCACATTGTGCAGTGTTATGTAACTTTCTTTTGTTCACAAACCTGGCTTAGTGCACCGCTGACCTCTTTTCAATAGGGGCCAGATTGGCGTGCAGCGGTGCTGTGTGGCTCATCGCTGCAGGTGGTGGAGTGCTTTTGTCCCTGGTGGTAATCCGCTTGCTCTAAATGCCCCAAATCCTGGTATACAGTTTCAAAACAAGGCTGGAATATCACCACTTTTGAGAGTGAAAAATGTTGATAATGCCCAGCAGCCTGGTATTTTGTTCGGAGTACAGTCTTTTGTTACAGGGCCCTGTTTCCTTTGTCCGAGTTCGGAGACCCTGGCCACGCATATAAAGCATACGTCTCCGATTCAGGAGTCCCCAGCAGGAAGTGGTTAAATTTTTAGGGCAGAATGACCTTCATCATAAGATATCCAAGGTAAATGTATACATGTATAACTCATCAATGGTTCCTGCCCCCATATACGAACGGTATACTTTTAGAGCTCATGCCTGTATCAAGTTCCAATTAACCCCAAAAGTCAACAGCACTAAAATTGTTACCATAGCGAATTCAATCTAGAAGTAAATTTAATAAACTTTTATTTTCCCGAAGACTGTCTTATTTTGTGGTTACACATATTCTATAATGATTGATAAGATTGCACAGTGGCAATCCATATTTCCTCCCAAGCCCTAATCATTTGCCCAACAAACTGCTGAATCATCTTCCACAAGAGACTGTAACTTCTCCAAATTTTACACGCAATACACATTAACACAAAATGAATGATGCGACTGCATGAGAATCACTGAAGAGTTCTAATGCAGCATGTTCCAGCCGTCATTTCTCAATAACACATCAATTTCAAACAAAAAGCACGTCATACATGTACTTCACAGAATCAGGCTTTTCAAGGCAACTTTTAACATCCATCTAAACATTCCCTATTTCCATTTTATAAAGATACTTGGAAGTATTCCCCAATAAAACTGCCCAATGTTATTTTCACTTTGGCAACAAAACTTCTTGTTTCATAAATATTTCAAAGTTGTCATGATTCTTTCAGCCAAAGTGTGTCTCTGTGAAAGACCATAAAATGTTAATAACTTGTTGGGTGTTTCTGAGAAACACCAATTCAAACATACTGCCATCTTTAATATTCATCAGTAAATGCATGTACAATGTACATGTGCCAACATGGTAAATGCCAATTATTGCACTACATGGTGGGTCTTAAGAAATAAACATTGGTCCATGCTTGGAACACTGTTTAAAATCTTTTCTGTAAAAAAGGTAAGGAATTTTAACCAGAACAGTAAAAAAACAAGCTTGACATCAAAGAATACAATGTACGCAATACTTCAGCTGGATCAGAATCAACACATAAATATACAAGGCATGCATTTCCCTATAAACACTAAATAAATTGAACTCTCCAAACAGGAGAGAATTTCCTTCACTTTAGTTGACATTAAAATTAATTTTTTTTTAGAGTAAAATGTGTTCAATACTTCAGGTCAGTGACACATTGCTGAATGTGAGAAAAAAGTGTTTTTTGATAAAGAGATAAGATACAAGCGTATGGAAATAGAGAAAAATAAAACATGTACCTGTATATCTGCCCTTTGCTTAAAGGTTATAAGAACTCATGTTGTCCCCTATACGAGTTCTCACAAAAAAAAACAATACACCCTAAATAAAATGTATGATGTATCCATTACATGATCACTCCAATGAAGGACAGAATTCATCCTACAAAGGTACAGGGGCCTGAAACTTCACAAGTCAAAAATGATTTGTGAGTTTTCAATTCCTTACAGAAATTTATTGCATACAAGTTCATATAAACACTGGTCCATTTTATACATGTACCGTAGTAATGCTGACCAGTTGGCATCTGTGGTGACTATTTGGTGTACTGCTAATGAAGAATTTTAATGAACCTTAAGTAACATTACTTAACAAATATTCTTGCACAGAAAACACAGATCAAGTCAGTAATAAAACTCTATCAGAGAGTAATCCATTCACATAATTGTGTTCACAAGCAGAAGAAGAGGGTTTACATGTACGAACTCAGACAGAAGGGGGTTTATAAACTCAGATACAACTGCAGCTGGAGACAAACCCAAAGATGACAATGTTACAATGTCATTCATCAAGGTGATTGAGAGGAATTTATGTACAGGTGCATCCTTGACAATAACAATGAATAATGTACCGTTATAAACATACAATACCTGGTTTGTGCAGAATACTCTGATTTTCCTAGCTCCGAATTTTTCATCATTAAGAACAGGATTCACCCTTCCAATTTTGATTCAGCAACACAATTTGGATTACAAAACTAACACTTCATGGACATAAGATTTCACTGTTCTATCAAAATGTGTACAATGTGGCAATAAAATTCCTGGCATAGTGCTTAAAAATGGCCCATTTTTAGACATGCATGTGATGTTCAGGGTTTTGCAGATGTGCAGATATGTTCTCCACTAGGCATTGGATAATCTTGTGGCATTCTCCATATCATTATGTAGTCCTACAAGCTGCTAGAGCTTAAATTTCAGTCCTGTGCCATGAAACTGAACAAGCTGATCAAAGGATAGCAGCATTCATCCATGTGCATGTTTTTAAAATGAACAAACTGCATTGTCTTACTTGATTAGCATCTGCTCAAACTAGGAAATAGGACAAATACATTGATATGGAGGGATAAAACTTTCTTTTTAGTTTCCAAATACATCTGTGTTGTATAGGTAAATGAAACAAATGTTGGACATAACTTTGGGGTTGACGAAATTGGAGGCACTGACATTTTTAATAAAATGTGTTATCCTGAACTAGGAAACAACTGAACTAATAAGTACTTAAGTATCGCTTCCATAATATACCCACACCTACTTGCACAATGCAGGTGCACTTTGTAAGGTGATGCAGGTTTGTCTGCACATTCAGTTCTAAGTAAGATTGATTCTGCATACTCCTTTATGTCCACACTTCCCATACCTGTAGGATTAAGCCAGTGCATATGTGTACATCCCTTGCTTTAATGTGCAAGCCACACAGCACCATTTATAATTTCCACACAAGAAACCACAGCCATAGCTGGTTCAAAATTCCCACTCATCTCCTGACCCATCTCTTACCCCACTCTCTAACTTCTGGAGGATACTGTAAGCATCTTTCTCACTCATCTGATCTTCAGCCACACCCACTACAGGTATACCCCTGTTGACCCCTGTCAGTTCTTGCTCTCGTCTGCTGACTTTTTTCCCCTGCCGACCAGCTTTGGGATCTCCATGATAGGTAGGTGAAGCCTCGCCATTTCTGACTGAATCATGGTCAGTGGATTTAGTACACGTAGCTTGGTGGGTGTCTTCTCTTGCAATCTGCATTGCTGTAGTTGTGGTATCCTGATGTAATGGTGAGCTTGCTTTACTTTGAATACTCTCAAGGTTTTGTGAGGTTTCTAAGCTATTTGTCTCTAACAACTGATCATCAGTGGATTCAACAATCACTGCACCACCATTAACAGACTTTGGTGAGGTCGATGGTGAGTTACCGACATGCGATCGACAATCATCATCATCATTACGCTGAATTGGAGATGTAGACTCTATCTGTGCTGTCATCTCAGCACCATAAACCATGGCATGAGTAGCTGTCAGGCCATCTGGTCCAATGATGTTCCCATCTGCTGTCTGGATCATAAAATTGGCAGCATCTTCAACTGGTGTGTGGCCTCGCTTGAGTCGAGAGCGGTGATTGTGAAACCAGTTGATGACAGTTGAGACAGGTAATCGGAGATCGGAGGCTATGTGTTCAATGGCACTCTGGGATGGGTAGGGTTCATTGTTATAAGCTGACAAGAGTGCTTCTTTATCTTCAGGTGAGAGGAGAATACGAGGCTTCTTCATTGGTGTGCCAACAAGATTGACTTCCCTTGGATCCACAAAGCTGAAGCGCTTTGCTGTGACATAAAAAGAAATAATCTTCATTGATTGCTCTCTGAAACTCTACAGTGGAATAGCCAGAATCCTAGCCCTACCGAGGGCTGACATTAGTTAATTTTTACACAGCTTTTTCTACCAACATTCAAGAATCTAAGTCATCAGATTATTTCATTATGCAGAAAGCAACAAGTTCTCCGGATAAAAGAGGCATTACAAGTTTGTCAAGAGAACAAAACCAAACAATGAAAGTACAATGCATGTGGGTTGAAGAATTACATGTATGATACAAGTGATTTTTCTTAGCATGCAGTCATTCAGGACTGTCACGACCACTGTTCACCTACATGTACATGTAATGTTACAGCCAACTAATAAAATCACTTACGTCTTCTAACAGGGCGATAGTTCTTGACCTTCTCCACACCATCCTTATCCTGAAGCCACAGATACATGCGTATGTATGGCTCTCTTCCCTTCATGCTCAACTTTAACCACATCTTAGGTTTGGATAGCAGATCACTAACTGAACCTTGAGTCAAGCCCAGGACTGCTTCTCCAAAGGCCTTTTGACCAACACCATGTTGCTGAAGGATAGCTTTCACTTGACGTGTTAGCTCAAATGTGTCTAGAAACTCAATCATGGCAGCCTGTTCATGGACAGGTGGCAGCTCAGGGAAATGCTGGGGTGGTGAAGGGGTCTGAAGCTCCACATGAGGGGCACTAGGAGCCTGAATGGGTGGGGTCGGAGCACTGCTTGGTGCTGGTGTGCTTGGGGTACTAGCTGGTGTACCCATACTGGAGCTGACAGGTGTACTTAAATTAAGAGGGCTAGCAGGTTGCTGCTGGGTGGGATATGACAGTGCTTGAGTATGAGTAGATATTTGAGGATTGTCTGAGTGAGACTGTGATAGGATGGGAGTTGAAGGTCCTGGTGACATCTCAGAGGCACTCTGCTGATCAGAAGTGTCTGTGCCAGTTGATGGAGGACGCTGCTGCTCCATCCAGAACCCTGATGCTGCAACAAAAGAAGAACTTTTCATTACTTTTTCATGAAATTCTTCTTCTATACTCACTAATGTACTATGTCTGCCATGTTGCCATGTTACATGATGCTGTGACTACCTGACAAACTTCAGAATACTACATTTTCAAAAAGAAGCATGAAACAAAGGAGGTGTAGCATGATACACAAACAAATGTACCGGTATGCTTCGGAAGTGCTTGAGTACTTTTGTTCAATAAGTATCCATGCATCTCTAGTCTCCATGAGTAAATAAAATGAAATGAAAGGCATCATTTTAAAAGTTACTTTTTAAAACATGTGAATTACAAATACCACCAGCTGACATTTTCTTTCAAATGGACAGTATGTGTTTGCAACATTTGTGGGGGGACACAGTGCAACTCAAGGAGTAAGACAAAGCAAGCGTATTTCATAAAGACAAAGTCATAGGAAACTCACCTTTTCTGACAGACTCTTTGAGTAACATCAACCCATCTGGGTCTTCCAGCCACAGTTTCATCCTAATAAATGGCTCTCGTCCCTTGACTGTCAGCTTATCCCATGGTTTAGGCTTGGACAGAATATCACTCACACTCCCCTGAGACAATCCAATGACATGGTACCCAAAGACTCGTTGTGGAATATTCCCACGAGCTAGCTGCTCACGGACTTGTCGAGCTATTTCCAAAGTATCCAGGTCTCGGTTGAGTTCATACTGTTGGACAGTAAGAGGAGCCATAGAGCGACGAGGCATGCGTGGGTTGATAGACATGAAGGTAGATTTGATATCTCCAGCATCATCTCTTGATGAAAATCCCTCATCAGCACTCTCAGAACACACCCCATTGGTGCATGGTTCCTCTACCATCTGATTAGAAGGTGTGAGTGCACATGTAGAGCTTTTTGTTTTCTCAACTTTCACATTGTGACCATTATGACGAGGGTTGTTACCACCACCTCCACCACCAGGATTATGAATAGTTGGTGCTTTATGTCGATGTGGAGGATGAGAATTTGGATTCTCGCATCTTCTGTCACCAGGTCTGACCATCCCTGGACCAATGTTCTTACTCTCCATCTCTTGTTTAGCTAAGGCAAGAATATTGTTGATGGCTTCCTCAGTAGATGTTTTTATGGAGGAAGTGGAGTTGTCACCATTGTCGCTGCCAGTGGCACTGTTAGTGGGAATGGCTGTTACTTCTTTCCCTGAGTGGAAAATTTAAACGAGTTTAAAACATGTATGCAACATACTAGTACAAGTCATTTAATACAAATAAAATGAAAACGCATACATGTACTTAGTGTTTACTGAGGCAAGTGAAAGATGATAGAATGATGGGTAAAATGACAGCAGTAAGATCCACAGCTGAAAGGCTAACATACTGTGAACATGTCAGGAAAAAAGCTAGTGCATGACTCTAGCTGGCCAACTTGCCATCCCCCCCAAAAAAACAACGGAAGTATGCGTAAAAGCTGTCTTTATTCAATGCCAAATCAGGACTTCATTCATGATAAGATTTACATTTTACTTTGAGGATCTACTTGACAAAGGATAAGACTACTGATTTGTTGCTCACCTTTCTTGTGCGATGACAATATCTTGAGTTGTTCCACATACTGTCTGTCTGACAAAAACTGAACCATCTTGAGAAATGGCTCTCTGCCTTTCAGAGTCAACTTATCCCAAGTCTTAGTCCGGGACAGAATATCACTGACTGATCCCTGGCTCAGACCTAGAACATGCTCCCCAAATATTCTTTGACCAATGTTATGTTCTGTCAAGACTTCTTTAACTCGTCTCGCTATCTGAATTGTGTCCAGCCACTCATGATTAGCAATAGGGTTAACTTGGGATTCAGACTTCGGGGTGCGTGGCCGATTGGGTGTGTGTGGTCGATGTTGTTGCTGCTGTTGCTGCTGCTGTTGATGATGATGATGCAACATGTGCAAGTGCTGCAGTGAGGAAGCTGCAACACTGTTTAGAGATGGTGGGATGACAATAATGGGCTGGATGATTTGAGAGCCACTCGAGGTCTGTTGTTGAGCAAACATCACTTGTTGGCTGTAGGCAGCCGCAACTTCTTGACCAATAAGAGATGCAAACGCCTGCGCTTGAGCTAGCCCCCCAGGACCTGCAGCTACAAAGAAGAGAGGCAAAATGCATTGTGGTGTGGTTGGTCACTTTGACAAGCTACTTCAAATTGGATGGATCTGACTACCACAAGAAATTACCACAAACATCTCACACAGTGGACTTTCTATTCCCAAGATTTTTTGCATAATATGATTTGCATGCAGTGGGAACCTCAATATTAATTTGCACAATGACTCTTGGTCTTGTGGCACAATTTGAACAAAGACAGAATAGGTGAGCAATCAACTGAGTTCAGAAGGGATGTACTTTTCATGCTTTTTACAACTCTAGACAAGACACACACACTCCAAATGCATTTTGCCCCTTACCTCTTCATGCAGATACAAGCCTCAAGATCGCCCTCATATGACAACATATGCAAGGGCTCGACATTGATTTTTTTTTATTTATACCAGTACCTTAAGATAACATAAAGCACTCTTCAGTGCTAGAAGTTAAGTTTCATGACAAATTTGAATACATAGTATTATCAAACAGAAAATCAAAGAGATCAAAACAGAAGATGGACTTACACCATCAATAAAATATCACCCCTTACAAATCAATGACCAAGCAACAACAGATAGGAAATGAATCTTTTCAAAGTAAAAACTGTACATACATGTATTTCAGATTAAAATGCTAACATAATATAAACAAGTCAAGGGGACTCCAACACCCCAAAAACAGACTGGAGCAGGATTGGTTTGGAACAATTCTTGATTCCTACTTTGATAAGGAAGGTTCCTCAAGTCTGGATTTTTCTTTCTGGCATAGGGACTTAATAATCAGAAATCTCTTTGATTGAGTGGGAATTTTTATATAAGAATCTTTGTTATTTACAATGGAAAAAACATTAAGAAGATAATGCCCCTGAAAAGTTGTAAAAGGCTGCGATCAGTTTCAAACTACGTGAATTCTGTTGGGCCACGTCAATTTCAGCCAGATAGAATCTAGACTCACTTTTTATTTTAGAGTAATAAATTTCAGTGTACTCGTATTGATCGACAGAACCATGTCCTCAGCACACCATGAAGTATTCAGATTGGAACACACAGGATTTATACTCACTGTTTATTTCAGACTTGGTAACTTTCAGGGTAGTGTTCTCTGATTGCAAGGCTCTGTTCTTCTCCAAGAGAAGCATTTCCAGGGATTTGGGTGTAGCTGTACCACCATCTGTCTGATCACCACTCTCTGACACATCACTGCCATGGGTACTAAACTCTATAGATTTGAGCACACTGAGTTCCCGCTTGATCTCATCATAGTCACTCTGACTACGAATCTGTTCCTCCTGAGAGAAGAAAACAACAGAGATAATATCAGAAATAACAATCACTATACAAGTAATCATATCTTGGTAACAAGCACCTGTTTTTTGGTGTGGATGACCAATGGGTGATTTGCCAGATTTCAGGACACTAACTTACTACTTCTACCTTTCTCTCATGCCATTGCTTAAAGTTCTGTGAAATCGGCTGCTGCTGTTTTTATTTTTTCCAGCTGTATAATCTGTGGGCCCCTCTTCCCTCTGGACTCACCAGTTTCTGTATTGCAGCATTCTTTTGGCTAACTTGTTCTTCCAGCTTCTGAATCTGATTGGTAGACCCTTCTCTCATCTTGGTGTTTGCTGCCTGTAATCTTTGAACATCCTCCACAAGCTGTGTAATCTATAAGATTTATTTGTGAAAGAAACTAATTCAAGATTTTAAATCGATAGTTTCTACTCATATCGATTCTATAGGAGTGAATATTGATGAACAACAAATAAGAGAAGCCATCATAGCCTGACAGTCTACAGACCTACCAAAACAACCAATGACATCCTAAGAGCTACCGGGTATTAGCTCACACCAATCTCATACAAGAATACATCACTGAAACCAGGACTTGAAATCTATAGACAGATATCAATCTAATAAACCAAAGGTTGGCATACATGTACCTCCTTTTCCTTTGCAGAAAGCTCCACCTCCAGACTTGATCTTGTTAAAATATCAATAGCCTGTTCCTATAACGCAAAAGGCATTACATACTGTTAATTCCTTCCATGCATTAAGTGTGGGTCAGGTCTACTAGAGAATACCTACCCAAACAGTCACTACATACAGGTATGCAAATTTCCCATGTGCATATTATTCATTCGCTGAAAAGATTTCATCACCCGTGGTGCACCCTGACCTCCCACAATGCAGCGCGGCCTCGCCGCCATGATCGTCCTTTTCAAAAGCGACTCAAAAAGGTTGTAGCCACATTGGGGAGGACAGGCGGGAAAGGACTGTTTGGGTAGGTATTCTCTAGTAGACCTAAGCCACACTTAATGTGGGGAAGGAGTCTACGGCACTCTACCTACCCAAACAGTCACTATATATGCAGAGTAGCACCTGTCTAGGTGGGGGGTTGGCAACGACACATCTAATGCCGAGAATACACTTTTACATATAAAAGTAAAATATTATATATTATAAGTATAAATAGGACTGTATAAATTTAAAAAATGGTAAAAGAACTTAATGACTTTTCGTCCGTCCTTCGGAAGGTCCCTTTAACCTCTGCACTGTGGAGAGTAGGATTGTCCTGCCATTTGCGATGTCGCTCTGCAGGACATCCCTCAAGTTGCAGGAGGTAGGAGACTTCCACCATGCAGTTTTGCAAATGTTTGTAATGGCAACAGCTGGAGAGTAAGACAAAGATGCAGATCCTGCTCTTACGTCATGAACCCTGATATAATGATGACTATGTTCATCAGAGCTTAACGGCCAGACTGGATTAGCAAATCTAATGGCCGAAGGTGTCCAGCAGGCAATAGTGTACTGACACCCCTGGACATGTGATGTCCTGAAAGTGATAAGCAAAGTGGTTAATATCGTCCCTGTCATGCTATCCTTTTAGTCAGGTACCACTTCAGGGCATGAACAGGCCCCCAAAGTTTATCCGCATCACCTCCATGAGGTAAGGAGGTGGAGAGTGTAAAGATATGAGACGGATTGGGTGAAGGAGTCTGATCTTCCGTCAGGAAGCCAATTGGAGGAATGAAGTGAACACCATGTGGCTCCCAACACAGACAGCCTTTGGCAATGGGGAAACCCCTATAGTTTGCTGCCTCCTCAGGAAAAGGAGAAAGGCCAACCAGGTGTGTGTAAGGCAGGTGCTATTTGGAGTTCAAAGGAAGGACTGGAAAACATCTAGAGAACCTACGGTAGCTTAGGTCTTATGACAAGACCAATTTCCCAACAAGGGGATGCAGGATAAGTATATCACATAAGAGGTGATGGAATGTCATGTTGTTAAGGGCAGTTACCCATTTTGAAACCAATGTGTATGGCAGCTAGGCTGACCTGTAGATATGAGTTGTAGATGCAGTACTAGTAGCTCCAGGTGAAAGAAGTACATGTACATAAGGAAGTCTATTATAGCACTCGCAGGAGCGTTAGCTGGAGCCAAAGCCTATCGACACACGTAACACAATGCTAAAATCTGCTGTCACAAATTTGAAAGGTGGGCAGATGAAGTCCCATGCGGCCATGGCTGTAGCATTGCTAGGAAGTCCCGCCGTAAAGGAAGATTGTAGGAAGTTAATAGTTGTTTAAGGAAGGGAAGAGATTGATGTAAGGCTGCTCTATCATCCCAGGGAGAGTGCGTCCGTCACTATGTCATTGGACCCTGCCATGTGGATCGTCTGCAGGTCAACTGCATGATCCCTTGTCCTTTCCATTAATGTGGCTTTGGTTGGCAGAGTAAAAGAAAAAAGAGGCAAGAAAGCCACAAGACATACTCTAAGATGGAGATGGCATTATCATACAGAGTCTTTTGCATGACTGTAGTGAGGTCTGGGCGAAAGGAGAACCCTCCTTTGCCATCAAAGGAATTTACTTCGATAAGAAAAAAAATGAATAGTTCAGAGACTGAGACAAAGACTCCATGTAACCTACATAAAGTTAGTGTCAGTCTTTATCGAGCAAGGGGGTTCCTAACAAAAAGGCTTGCTTAGTCAAAAGCATAAGTTGTCTTTAGCAGCAGTGTATAACACCTGAATATGCAGAAAGGTATTGAAGGCATTCATGTCAATTGTAAGCCATGTTCCGTACCCAGTCATGCCAGTGTGGCTGCCGGCATCCCAACTGCGACAGAACTGCAGAATTACAGAGAGAGGTCCCAGTAGAGAAGAGGCTCGATGATGTCTAGTTGAAAGCCGGAGTCACAAATGGGCTGCAGTGGCTTGAAGCCCGAGTGGTGGGCAGCCCGGTAGCAGAGATGGTAGACAGGGCCACGAGAGGCGGAACGCCTGGGTGCGTTCCAGGTCGAGGTCAACGGGAATTGAAGAATACCAGGCAGAGGGACCAGGAGAAATGAGGTCCAATGACCCGGTGATGCCCATAAAAACCCGAGCCACAGTGTGCTTGAAGCACCCAGTGGCAGCCAGGGCCGCAGAACGCCCGAGAAGCAGTGCCAGTCGAGGTCAACAGGGGCTTTAGAATTCCGAGTAGAGGGACCAAGAGCAATGAAGTCTGATGACCCGGTGATATCCAGTTGAAAGCCAGAGCTGAGGTGGCTTGAAGACCCGCAGGCATAAAAGCCCATTAAGCTCCGCAGGATCCGAAAGGGGGTTTGCGGGAGTCGGGGTGTCATGGCTCGACGGCGCACCGGGCAGGGTAGGCCACGGCACTTGTGTGGAGCCCGGCCTGATGACTTCAGTATATGGGCAAGAGAGAGTATGCCCCAGGGGGCGCCGGAGAAGTAGTGTTCCAGGCTGATATTGAATGGCGGGTGGTATTCTTCGGTGTCACCGGGGAACGCTGGCTGGAATGCTGTGTGGATTCCTCTTGGCCACGTCAGGCGAAAGGCGTGGCGTACCTCACAATGATGGCGGGACAGGCCCCGGAGACGTCTGATGGGGTACCCTCTAGGAGTTCCCGCTGGCTCTCCAGGCCAGCAATTGACCAAGGAGACAGGGTCCTTGCCAGATCCTGGCGGTGCCCCTGCTTGGGTCTTCTGCAGTCGACCATGGAGCTTCCCATCAGCTCCCTGGGCCGAACAAACCAGGGCCACTGGCCAGATCCTGGCTGGAACCCCCTGGAAGACGGCAAGGCCTTTTCCTCCTCCTGGTTGCCGAGAAGACAGGGGAGTATGACAGATCCTGACAGCGACCCCTTGAATTCAACCGGCTAAGGCCTATAATTCACTGGTAAGGTAGACACAGGAAATCTGGAACGAACCTCGTAGTACTGACAGTAAATACCTGCAGGGTGCACATACAAGAAAACTGAAGAAAGAACACAAAAAATATACACGAAAGAGCACTCTTACCAATAAATGGATAAAACCCAGGTTTTACTTTTTTACAAAGGAAGGAAAGGTGATCAAATCAATACAGAACTGTGTGGCGAAAACGAAAGCTCGATAGATCGAAGATTCCTCGAAAATCACGTCCGTTACGTTACGGCGCTGAGAAAAGAAGGCGGTCATGGCGGCAAGGCCGCGCTGCATTGTGGGGGGTCAGGGTGCACCACGGAAGATCAAATCTTTTCAGTGAATAAACAATACGCACATGGGAAATTTGCATATGTAGTTACTGTTTGGGTAGGTAGAGCGCTGTAGACTTCAGAATTTAGCTGACTTCTGCAGAAAAATATTTTGATACTGTCAATGAAACTCACAGCACGAAGAGTAATTTAGATCTCCTGTCCTTTTTCGGTAAAATAGTTACTGAAAAGACATCTGTTTACATGTACATCCATTAAACAGCACTCATACATGTAAATGCAACCCATTTTATGGATGTTGGTTTCTAAACACTTCTAGTTATATTATTTTTTATGATTTGACAGAATGACTACATCCTCACCACACTTGGAGCTTTCTGCATCTGTTCTGCTTGCTGCAATGCTTGCGTTGCTGATGCTAGTTGTGCTCTTAGTGTTTCTAGTTCCTTCTCACTGGCAGTCTGCCTCTGGTTTGATCGCTCCAAGTCTGTCATTAGCATGTCAACTTCATCAGATCTGAAGAAAGAAAAGGATTTGAAAGATACCTGTAGAGGGCCTGATACTTTGGTCCATTATGATCATGGTACGAGTATGTACATGTATACATACCAGTAGCAGACTCTTACTCAAAGGCAAAATAATGGCTTTAAATAACACTTTGTATTGTTACATATACATGTACATGTACTTCAAACATGAACAAATACATGTAACACACTCCCAAAGAAGTGCTGGTATTGCCATCGTAACAGGACAACTTGTTATGAAAGCAAAACATTTTATTAAATAATAATGATGACGCAATCAGGGCTCTAAGCATTTCATAGATACAAAATTCCCTGATTTTTCCCTGATGGAAGTTAAAAATTCCAGGATACTTATTTTGGCTTTACAGTCTGATAGTGTACATGTACACTATAACTGTTTGTGTTACATGTTATAAGGTTACACATGTACATGTAGGTGAACTGCAGCTACATTGATACAGAAAGAAAAAGGCATTCACTACAAGTACACTGAGCAATAGAAAGCCCCCATAGCCATGCAATCATCCAGGGGATTCGCTGTTTGGTATGGACATGAGGCAAAAAAGTCTGACCACTGGACACACAAAATTCCATTATTTCTCCCTGATTTCAGGGACTTTTTCAAATTCCCTGACTTTTCCCTGACTGGAAAAGGGGAAGTCATTTTCCAGGTTTTCCCTCATTTCCAGGTTAGCTGGGAACTCTGACATTATAAAAGTCAAAGAGGCATGTCTGTCTCAAGCCAATGTGGCTCATTAGACGATGTTCATCTACACTTTTTTCAGTGAGCATATTTCTCTTCCCCCTACCCTCTCTTGATGGGATATCAGTCAACACAGGTTCCTCCCCTGCTAATGCTGATACCCATTTATACTCCAAAGTAAAGGGGAAAGCAAGAGTAATGATTATCCCAAGGCCATAACTTATGGCGATAGCTGGATTCAAACCCGACCATTTTATCATTAGTAACATGAGTCTTGACCTTTAGGCCACGATCCCCTATCAAATCCAAAAGAATTTAATTCTTTTACTTATGAATCTCTGCAAAAAGAATTCTATTTCATTCCTTATGAATCTCTGCAGAGGGAAAATCCTTTTAGGCATTGGATTTGATAAAAGATATACAGTACTGGTCAGAATTTTAGTCCACATGCAAGCACGCTTAGCGTGTCAGCGTGTACCGATTCAAACGGACATGAAGGGAGTTAACTGCAAACACGAAACATGCTGACCCCTGCATAACGGAGAATGCTGACACCGTAATCCGATCTGCCGATGTACATGTACGTAATTTCACTTATTCAGTGCACTGCCATACAGTGTACCGGTAAACGTACATTGTACATGTACACTGCCCCGCAAAAGATATAGTGCACCTCGGTTGTATTTTTCAGTTGCTGATTTTTCCATAAAATATCTCAGTTTGTCAATAAATTTACCAACCTGTGTCTTGTGTCATTATTGTAATCAAATAAATTCATATTTTGAAGGGTCCATGTCGGTCCTATGGTTCCATTTAAGAACAATTTCGCGACAGCGTTTCGCGACCATGTAAGATCGCCATATTGAAGGACCTCATTTAATATTCATTAAGCTCATGAATATATTATAGTGGCATTTAAACCAATGGCAACAAACTTTGCACGGCGGGAAAATACATTTTCTGAATATTTATGAAGTAAAAGTTGACCCCCATTGAAGGCAATGAAAACTGGGGATTCTAGTGCTTTATAAAGGGGGGCTATTTTGCAAATGAATCCCTTCACTCCCATCAATCTCAAAGCTGAACACAATGGCCATGAAAACGCCTCTGACTGACCACCAAAAAGGCACGATCAAAGCTTTTTTCTGGCACGAGGAACGAATTTCAAAACGAGAGATAGCCAGGCGTCTTGGCATCAGTGACAACACCGTCGGGACTAATTTAAAGAAGTTGGTGGAAAGAGCATCCATGGCAGGTCTCCCCAAATCTGGCCGTCCATGGTCCACTAGTGCGAGGGATGACTGATTCCTAGTGCGGACATACCGCCGAAACCATTTCCTTACTGCCCCCAAGCTGCGAATGGGACTCCCCCAGACTGGTGGTGACGTCCATCACTCCACCGTGTCTCGTCTCCTAGCAGCAGCTGGCTTGAATGGTCGGGTAGCAAGGTACAACCCCGCCTTACAGCTATGTACATGTACCCACAAAGCAATGCGTCTAGCCTGGGCCTGTGAGCATCTGGTGAGGACAGCTAATGACTGGAGCCGCGTTCTTTGGACCGATGAGTCACGATTCCAGCTGTATCAATGTCAGAAGGCTGGTGGGGAGGAGTTTTCTGAGAACTGTGTGGTTCTGTCAGTACAGCATGGAGGATCTGGCATCATGGTTTGGGGCTGTATGAGCTCTGGGGGCACAAGTGTGCTGACACAGGTCGCGGAGAATATCAACACCTATATTCTCTGCGACCACATGCTGGCTTCTGCTTTGACTTCCTGTTTCAGCACGACAATGCCCCCCACACACTGCAAGAATTACACAGGAATTCTTGGCTGATCCAACCCCCGATCTCATCACTGAAATGGGGGGTAGTTGGCAGTTTGAGGCGAGAATCTTTGGAACGAGCTCGAATTGCGACTCCGTCGTGAGAATCGGAGGCCTGAAAGTAAGGAGGAGCTGTTCCAAACTCTCCAGCAGATTTGGGATGGAATGGACTGCCATTTCATCACCAATCTCTTGGCTTCAATGCCAACAAGGTGTCAAAGCGTTATCGATGCTCGTGGAGGTTTTACACATTACTAAACTGATCCACGTCCTTTGTGTTTATTGGCGTGCCATGGGTTCCGCCTTCTTGAATTTCGCCACGTCCCCCATTGACTTTGTACACACAGAAAACAGTTAAGTTGGTTTTTATCATTTT